CTACTGATGTTTTTGCTGTATTATTGACAAAATGCTTGACTGTTGACTCCCACATTTTTCTTTAAGTGCAATCAAAACTCTCCATACATCGGTTTTCCACTAATATTGTTGAGTTTTGAGCAGATTGTCTTTCTTTCCTGTGAAAGAACAGTGTGACATTGAAGCTAGAAATCTGACTGAATTTTAGACATTTACTAAGGAAAGCAATCTTTTGTATTTGGTGATTAAATAGTGTAACTAGTATTCCACTTAATGGTCATTGTGCTTCAATGAAATGCTTAGGAGGAGAACAACCATCAGCAGAACTGCAGACATTGTTAATTTTGTATAATTTCCACTCAAACACTTTTAAAAAAGATTTAGTGTATCCTACATCTAATCTATAGAAATACCTGGAAAATGAAGCAGGTCTTTATATATTTAATGTTCTTCTTACAGAGTAGAGACAAAATACATTTAGTCACTTCAGCTTAACTCTGAATGCTAAACCTACAGCATTTTAGTGTTACCTTTTTTTTTTTTTTAAATGAGGAAAAGTAATCAAACAGAAAAAACTAACATCCCATCCTCTCCATCCCCCTTTTTTTTTTTTTTTTAAAAATTCATCTGGATTAGCTTTTTTAGGTTTAAATTATTTGAGAATCATATGAGCACCAACATAGGAGCAAGGAAATAAGCAGGAGTGCCCAGCAGGAGGTAGAGCAGAAAGTTGATAGATTGAAGCTGTCATGGGATCAAATTTATTAAAAATCCTACTCTGTTTTTTTGAAGCACCCTATTCTGTTACATTTAAGGCTCAGCAAGGTTACTATGGCTTTGCAAATGTGACCTTTATAAAGACGTCCTGGCATTATGGGTATTATTACACTGTAGTTACACTGCATTTGACAATCCTGACATTTTTAGATGAAATTTCTGTTAAAGTAGCAGAGTTTCTCTTTTTGAGACTGTTAGTACTAATCAATTCCTTAAATTTCCTTCCTTTATGAGAAATACCTTTGGCATACAACATTACAGCAGGAAAAAAAAAAAAAAAAGTCCTGCTTTTCTGTAGTTGGGAAAGTGATTGTGCTTCCACAGCATGGCAAATGTGCTGATGCTTCTCAAGAACAGACATTTCATTGGATACAATATTTGTGTCCTTTGGAAATTCACATGCATGCCCCTTCCTTCCCTGTAGAAACTTTTATGGGTGTTCTGTAAAATAAACACATGCAAAACGTAGGGATATATAGAATTTCCCACTCCCTCTTACCCACCTGCAATACTCTGTGCCTGTAATGCCCGCAGCTGACAAAACTTTGCTTGTAAGCTTTTTTCCATTTCAGAGTCTGTGTTACAAGTATCCTTGATGTGATTCTTGGGATAACTCTTAGCCAAATTCTGCATGTTACTCTGTTGTTGTACAAGCAGCTGCCAGATGGCAATACAGAGAAAATACATTTAACGTCAGTCACCTCGCTGGAAGCCAGATGGCACAGCAGAAGTTGGAACAAGATGTTTGCCAACTCGTTCTGGCTTCCAGCTGTGGTCCCGTGCTCCACCATGACCGTGTGGACAATGGCCTCTTGACTGTCACCACGATACTGCTGTTAGAGCGTTCCTGCCCATGCTTTGTGCTCATTCAGCAGCCTCAATTGCTGACATTGCCTCGTCCTTCCTCCCCGAAAGCTGCACTGGCGAACAATTAGAAATGGGTGTGTGAAAGTCAGTGGGGCAGATAATTCTTTGTTGGCTGCTTGTCTGCCGTGATGAAGTGCATATACTGAACCTTTTGGATGAGTTCCTGAGGGGAGGGAAAGTCACTGAAAGTAGCTCACGTGGTTGTGCTGGTTTTTTAACTCGACTCGTCAAAATTTAGTCAGTTTGATTGTTGAATCCAGCAGGAGGGGATATTATGCTCTGAATGCAAGGAGAGTCAGTCTTTCAGGTGGTGGTATAAAGGGAAGAGTACCTGGCCCTTAGGGATTGGGAGCACAGGCAATGCTTCTGGAGCATTCCAGTTTTCACAAATAATCTCTTTTAAATCCTCTACCTTGTCTGGCTGATAGATCTGGCAGAGGTACACGCCTCAGTCTTTGCTCTGTGAGAAAAGCAAACAGCCTGTCTAATGAAATTCTCAAGCTACAGCAGATGCTGCTTCCATGTCTTTCTCACCAGAAGTTATGGGATACAGTAACAGCACTGGTTGCTGCCATTTGGGAGATGATAATCATTTATAACCCAGACTGTTATGAGGCTATAAACCAGGGTGAATTGGGTGCTTGGAATTCAGCTTAGCAATAATCAAATACAAAGTATTTATGGCAGGTGGCTCTGAATGAGGTAGAGAGAAACTAGTTGGCTTGTTATGCCTCTTGAAGGAAAATGTCAGTACAATGAGGCCATTTATATAGTTACAGTGGGATGACATAAAGAGTTTAGAAGTTGCTAACCAACCACTGTTTCCAAAAAAAGCTTTAAATCTGTGGGAGATAAGTCTTTGACCAACCAACTTTTATTTAAAAGCAATCAAATAAACTCTATGGGTCCTTTACAATACTGGCAAATGTCCAGGTATGATAGAATTGGTTTTTTGCTTCAACTTTTTTTCATAGAAAGTGCACTGACTATATCTGACTTCTGAAAACAGGAGCCATAGGATGCCCTGAACTAACTGGTGTCTGAATAGAGAATATAACTTTTAAAAAAGAATCCCGTGGTTCTTAAAATCCTTCTGGATATTTGAAGATCAGATTTGCTAAAAAAATTTCTCTTTGCTTTTAGTTATGACTTATTTTTAGCTAATTCTGTGTATTATTTGGTATTATAGAATCCCAAAATGGTTTAGGTTGTAAGGGACCTTAAAGCCCATCCAAGTCCACCCCTTCTCTGGGCACAGACACCTTTCACTATCCCAGGTTATTCCAAGCCCTGTCCAGCCTGGCCTTGGACAATTCCAGGGATGGAGTAACTGCAGATTCTCTGGGCAACCTGTGCCAGGGCCTCACACCCTCACAGCAAACAATTTCTTCTTACTATCTGCAATTTCTTTCTAGATCTGCTCTCTTGATATGTTTCTATCTTTGCATAGCCTTTCTTGCCAAATCCATTACCCATTGACATTGATCTTTAACGATTCCTTAAATAAACCAAGAAGACTGAGATCCTTTTGTCCACAGCTATTAATTGTTTTCTAATCATAATCTTCCCCAAAGCGCCTTTCTGAGCCCTTTTTAAGCTTTCATCACTCTTCTTCAGTTGTGGATACCATACATTTCCATGTTTTAGTGAGACAGAGAAGTCCTGTGAATAATTTGTAGGGAGCAGTTAGGTCTGCAGAGAGAGAGAACTCAGAGAAGGGTATTGCTTAGCATTTTGTTTGTTTGTTCAACTCTTTGTGTAAAGGCTAACAGCAAACGTTGCTGAGAGAATTGAGTGGTATTAACTTAGATTAACCAGCTGTGCTTGCCTGTATGACATAAAGTTACACTTAGTCTGTGATTTGGGGTGGAATTGGAAACTTCTATAAGAGAATGATGCCTTCAGGTGTAGTCACTCCAATTTTTTTAGTGTTATCACCTTTCCAATCTTCAGTTTAGGAGTACTGACCGGTGAATGTTTGGCTTCATGATGCCACTTCTGCTTATTCTTTTTTTTTTTTTGACATGCTGTGCTGGAGTTCAGGAGGCCTCTGGTGGGTTCGATATGATGAAAGAACATTTTTCTGGTCACATTAGTTTAATCTGAAGGGAGAGAAAACCACAGCCATCAAAGATCAAGAAAGGTATGCCAGCATTTGCCCTCTACCTCTTGAAACCAGCTGAGTTCAAGCTCTGACATGTTATTAAACTCAAAAACAATGTTTGAGAGAATTTGAGGGAATACAACAGTTTCTGTCATCTTTGCAGTGTTGTGACAATCTTGTGCCAAAACGCTGCTCTTTCATTACACTTTGGAGACTTTGATGGTGCCAAAGTACTTGTCATTTCCCAAGAATGTGTCTGCCATGGGAGAGGAATGATAACCCTGTGTGACAATTTCTGCATAGTGCCAAAACAATTGTTGCACAGGCAGCAGGCCCTCTTGCTGGATTGTATCTTTTCAGGCTGAAGTCTTAACCGATTTATACAATTCATTTTCCTTCACTGATTTTCAGGCTGTATTTCAATGCTTAGAGTTTTGTTGGTTGTTTTCGATTGGGGGGGGGTTTGTTGGTTGGTTTCTTTTGTTTGTTTTTTTTTGTTAACCCTGCAAGCAGAACTGGTGTCTCTCCTTTTAACCCAACCATCAGTTTTTCTTTGATTACTTTTCCCCTCCTAGGTACTTTGAGCACTTATTTCCGTTACTTTACATTAATTCAAGCACTAATTCTGACTTCCTGTTGCATATAAAGCCCCTTAACTCAATGGAAATTTAGGCCTGGTACCTTTAAGTTTACCTTAAAATAAGAAAAAGCAACAGCAATTTTTCTGTCGAATCCTGCAACTTTATCTCAAACTCCTAGGAGCCGTGACGTGTGTTCTCAACAAATATATGTTGCTCTCCCAAACTTTATTCTGGGAAAACTCCTGCTTTTAAGCGTGAATATAGAATCAGGGGAGAGTTCGGGTTCTGAAGGGAGTGTGGGTTCTGAAAGGACTTATCAGTCCCACAGGACTTGAGCTCAAAAGCTAAAGTAGTCTATTCCAGCTACAAAAAGGTTCCATCTGCAGAAGAAATCCGACACTTCTTAGGAGTCTGAAGCTGTTTCCCCCCTCATCCCTGCTGTTTTTCTGGGCATTTCAGGAAGGGCAGTGTGTGTTCAGTCCCTGAGGGGACGGCCCGGAACCCTCGGCGAACTCCTCGCCTTCACACCCGGCGCTGTGAGGAGCTTCGCCTGGAGCTACAAACGCTGCGGTTCCATTAAACCGGATTCAATTAAACCCAAATCCGTTCAAATTAAATTAAACCCGGCTCTCTTCCCGCCGCGGCGCGGCCGCCTCTCCTCGCGAGAGGTCTCCCCCGGCAACGCCGCGGCCATGGCGGAGGAGGCGGCGGTCTCTGAGGCGGCGTTCAGCCTGCAGAGTATCCTTCTTCCTCCCCGCTCTTTCCCCCTCCATGCTCGTCCTCCTGCCCCGCTGTCCGTGCCGGTTCCCCCCTCAGGGGTCCGTCCCCTCAGGGGTCGGTCTCCTCAGCGCTCCTCCCGCCTCAGCCGCTGCGGCCCCGGCACCTGCTGGAGGGGAGGGGGGGTCGGGTGGGGCGAGGAGAGTACGGAGGGAAAAGTCAAAAATTCCCTCGGCTTGTTGCTTCTTTTTTTGTTTTGTTCGTGGAGACTGCAAAGCGGCTGAAGCCTGTCCAGAGAAAGGGCTGGAGCGGCTGAGAGAGCTGGGAAAGGGGCTCCGCCTGGAGAAAAGGAGGATCAGAGGAGATCTTCTGGGACAACTGCCCCTAAGGGAGGGGACAGCCAGGGGGGTCGGGCCCTGCTCCCAGGGAACAGGGACAGGAGGAGAGGAAATGCTTTCAACCCATGCCAGGGGACCTTTAGGTAGCAGGAAAAATTTCCTCCTTTCACGGGCTGCCCAGGGAAGCGGTGGCCACAGCATCCCTGGCAGTGTTAAAAAGCCCTGTGTTGATGCGGCACTTGACATGGTTTAGCGGCGTGGTGCTTTGATAGCCGTTTGGTCTTACAGGTCTTTTTCAACTTAAGGATTCTATGAATACATGGGGTTTTGGCCCTGCAGAGGCAGAGGGATATTGCTCACTGTGAGGGGGTGTTTGCTTTCCTGGCTGAAGGTTGGGATTCCTGAATGCCCCTTGGAAAAACGGGGGAATTGAATCCTGCAGTGCTGCTGGATGGGCAGCCTGATGTTATAAATACATATTATGGTATTGGCTTTTCGCAAATATTAGGGTGGATACTATATGTGTGGTGTTGAAATAGTTTTTAAGATACAGTTTTCTTTAGGAGTGTTATAAATGAGAAACAAAAGTCTCGGTATTCAGCAAAATTTAGATTGCTTTATTTGATATAGAAAGAGCAAGCAGTGCTGGGGAACGTGAGGGGTCACCGCCCACTCCACGCCCCACTGAACTCTGGCCCGCAGCCTCTTCTTATACTACGGTTTCTCATTGTAATCAATAATTTTTTTTTTTTCTGTCATAATTTTGCCAGGTAAGCAGTGACGGTCGAATAAACATCCTTACACAAGTTCACAAAGTTTCTGGCGATAGTCAGTTTCACAGATAGCCACCAGAGAAATTCTGGAAGTCTCGTCCTTGAGATAGGCAGCATTGATCAAACAAGGCAGGAAAGACTATCGGGAAGTCTGGTTTTGCAAGCTGGTAGATGCCACTTATTTGGAAAACATAATATAATATAACAAGATGATTTAAAACAGAATGATTTTATCATATAATTTCCTTTAATGTCCATGATTCACTTCAGAGCTTAGTATTCTGGTTTATACAAACCCCAATACTTCTGTGATTAACATAAATCTTTTATCAATTACAACAGCAACAACATAAGCTGATGAAATGTCTTTATAGTAAGTGAACTACCTTGGTTGGATAACACCCAGTGAAGACACCTGCTACTGATATACCAGTTACCACCTGTAGAAATTGAAGACCACAGCTCAAGTTAAAACTGAGAAAAATAAATTAAAACCACAGCCAAGAAACATGCATGCTCTAAAAAGCTGAACTCAAAGAATAGCCATGTAAAACAGTTCCTGGAACATGGAAAATAGTTTATAGAAAAGTTTGAAAATGTAGGATAGGTCTATGAATATGAAATGTACTGATGAATTTAAGGGGTGTCTCCAAAACACCCCTTGAATGCCAAGCACCAGCCATTATAACCCTTTGCTTTATTGTTTGTCTCTTATTGTCTTTTATTAAACCTTTTGAAATCTACCAGGAAAGTGAACCTCATTTTTTCTCATTGAGCAGGAGTTAAAATCCCAGTGTGAAAGGCTCTTTTTGCCTTTCCTGTGTTAGCTATTGAGCAGTAAATGTGAAATACCTATGGAGGAGGGACAGGGTTGGGTATTAAGGCACCCAGTCCCAATGTGCTGCTGGAAAAGGTGCTCCTTTAATTTCCCACTGCAGAATAACTGCTGGGATATTCATGGTTTTTGGTCTGTAACTGAGTATGACCGAGAATGAGGGTTGTGGTACATAACCTAGACATAACTTTGCTGTGGCTTTCAGAGAAAAAAACCCCACCCAATTCTTTTCACATTTTAGTTGTAGCAAATTTTGTTGGGCTTATAAATGTGTAATTTTTTGGGGCACATCCTGCTTTTTTGTCACTAGGCCAGATGAGCTGCATCTGTTCTCTTTGCCAGCTGTGAGCTGCAAATCAAACTAATGTTTTTAGAGGCTAAGCAATCATACTTTAGTGTCATAGACCCTACCACACCTTAATTTTTCCTGCCTTGCTAGAATTAAGCTGAAAGCCAATTTTTAAAAGTGGAGGAGTGTCCTTTTGCCACTCCTGCCTCAATTTCTACCTTAGTGAATCTGCACAGCTGTTTTCAGCGTGGTGTGCTTAAAAATGCAGTGCCTCAGCAGATTTAACACTGTGGAGCAATACAGTAGTTTTTAAAATTAATTTCTCTGTTTTATAGTGCACCTAGCTATCCTTTTTGGAACGAAAAAGGAGCAAAACCCCCAGGATTTTTAAAGTAATATCTTAGTCTGGGCAAATTGTTTGCAATGACACAATAGTTTAGACCATAGTGGATCACAAGGACAGTCAGGTCAATAGAAAATTGAGGAAAAAAGTCCCTAGATTTTGAAAGCTTATTACTTATCAGGGAGTTATGTTGTTCAGCAGTTAGCCTTCCAGATGGAAACAATTTATCTGAGTTTTTCTGGTGCTGTGGTCTTGAATGCAGATGATAGTTATGTTTTGTACTTTTACATACATACTGTACTGTGAAAACTGGCAATAGGCCCATTTTTAGGAGAATAATTCAGATTTGGGCAGCTTGATGCAAAGCTGGAAAATCATGTTGGTTTTTTTTTTTTCTTTGTGTGTGAAGTACTGAATTGCCAGCTTTTCTTTTCCTTGGAAGTTAATTTTTGGTTTATTTACATGGGTCACTTGTAGGCTAACTGATTTCCTAGGGAAACAGCAGCATCTGCTAAAAACATTTCATTATTCTTTCATGGGCTGTGAGGCTAGTGGATGAAAAGATTTTATTTGGCTTTTATTCTAGACTATTTGCAGTTATAAGTTTGACTCTAAAGCATTTCAAGGAACTGTAGATAATTTCCAAATGAATTTCTGAGTTTTGAAAGTTCCTAATCTTTTTATTGTAAACGTCTTGTGATTATTAAGGCATTTGCATCAGCTCTTTTAAGTGGCCCTGTGGTGTCCAGAGTTTGACCTCAGGTGTTCCTGTTTGGACTCACACACCTGAATTTGCTGAAAAATTGGTATTTTCTGAGAGCATGAAGCTAGTTCTGCTTAAAGGCTATGAAAATCCTAGTGCAAAAAGACCTCTCTCAAAACTGATGATTGGCTGAGAGCACAATTGAGCTGCTGTTTTGTTCTGGAATAATGCTTGGCTTCTGAGATCTGATGAGTCAAGTTTTAATGGTGTTCAAACCTGCTGTAAAAAATTAAACCTAATTTCTGTTTCTGTGCACAGAACTGGGCTTGCTCACCTTGAGGCTGAAGGAAACCTTAAATATTGAAAGGCTTGTATTGAAAAGAACAAGGGTGGAGGTGGTGATAGCAGATTTATAGATGGGTATTTTATGATATTTTTTTTCTCAGTTGGAACTCCTCACATGCACCAGCTGTTTCAGACTTAACTAAACCTGCAGGCATTACCATAACTGATGAGGCCAAAGATGATTATCAGTATGAAGAGGTAACTTAATAAATTGATAATCTCCTGATATATCTTGGTAAAGTGTTCATGTTTTAGTCTTTTTACTTCATCAGTCACACAGATCTCCTGGGAGAAATGACATGAATCTCCTTTTATAAAGTGATGACAGAGGGCATATCTATTTTTCAAGAGAAGATTCACTGTTAGTTGAATTGTTGTGTATTGTCTTTATTTGAATGGTAAATAGTTTTTTTTTTTTAAAGGTATAAGAATTTATATTTAAATAAAACATCTATGTAGATATTTCAGCTTCTTTATAAAAAATACTTCAGTAGTACGATTTCTATTTAAATATGGCAAAAATGTATTTTAACAAGGAAGGGATTATTTTCAGCAGTTATAATGGGAATGGGAACAGGTGTATTGTGAAAGAAAGATGTATAAAATGTGTTGATACCAAACTTTACATCATTTCATTCAGGTTTCAGCAGATGATGAGATCAGTCTTCATGAAGATGATGAGGATCTGTCCAAAGCTTTGCAGAATGTTCAAGAGCAGACTGAAAATGCCCACGTTTTAGTAAGAGATTCCTAAACATTCTATGAGTCTTTGAGTCAGTTGGCATTAGTGTCTTGAAATTTACACAGAATAACTTATATTAATTATGAAATATATTGTGCAGGAAAGATTGTCTCCTATTTTCTTACAGGCTTATAGGAATAAACATATGTCATAAAGGAAAAGACAACTTATGTTAACTGGGTTTCATCTTCCTTTAATTTCTGTTCATTTTGTGTTCTGCAAACAACCTGACATTTCCAATACATGTATCAAACCTTTAGCTAGGTTATTTAAAAATGTATTATCATTATTGTAATGCATCAGTATTTTAGAGTTTGCTCTTTATCTGAGCAGATTAAATGAGAATGTGATCCCTGGCACGGGGGAGAATCTGCATCTGCTTATCACCCACAGAAGGTTGTACATGAATACTTTGCTAAAACAAATTGTTCATATATTGAAAGTAAAGAATGGACCGTTACACTATATTGAATCAAAATATTAATGAAATTATCAATCATTCCACACCATTGGTTTTGACTTTCTTTACATTTAGAGTTTGATTTCAAAGCAGTTATGTGATAGTTCAGAGTTACACAATGGGATTGTTGTATTGCATTTTTCAAAATAGGATTTACCTGAATTTACTGTTTTTAACAGTCTGCTGGAAAAGTGCTTTTCCCTGCTGTGTTTCCAATATCCCCACTATCTTGTAGCCTCATCATAAGGGTACAGTCATAGTCTTTGTGTTGCAAAAGTAAATGTTTAATAGTGGAAAGATGAAATTAAGTGACTGATACTTAAAATGGAGGGAGAATGTGCTTTTTCTTCTGCAGTTGTGCACATCAACAGATGAGTTTTGTACTTTAGATCAAACTCTGAGTGGAAATTGACAATAACAGAGTTTTATGTGTATTAAAACTGAATATGTCTGAAAATTAAGGGAAAAATTGCAGAAGTGTTTGAGATGGAAAATACTTAATGCTAAGGAAGTAGTGGAAATTCTTCATGTTCCTTAGGGATATCTGAGATTATGATTATGTTGTGTGAGTTGATGTTAAAATAAAGTGCAAAAAGAGAGAATATTTTTAACCTATTGATCTTTTGACCGTGCTGGATTTAAATAATCTTCTACCTCTTCATTGATTTGTTGAACCTGGAGTGGTAGAAAACACTATGCTAATGCCTATCCCAGTTAATCAAACTGAAGAAACTGTTACCTTTCCTTAGAACCAGCAGATAATTTGTGCTTAAACTCCTACTCCCTTTGATTTTAAGCTTATGCTAAGAGTTGTTTGCCTTCTTCCTGCTTGATTGGTTATTTGGATGCTTCATTTTTTTCCATAGTTTTGAAACTGAAGTAATGTTTTCAGCCTTTGGACAGAAAGACATGAATAGAGAAATGTTCTAATACACTTGCTAGTTCCTTGACAGGTTTCATAATGATTTACTGTATATTTTGTGAGGCTCACTGACTCAATTTTTTGATATTAATTCCCTGGAAAAGCCAAGTGCTTCTGGTGACCCAACTTAGAAGCATTGTTTCCTGTGAATTAATATTGAATCAACATCCAAATTCTGGGCTAGGAAACAAAGTAGAAGGCTGTCTTCTTCATGTGATAAATAATTGGCTTTTTAAATTTTAATAGCTTATAATCTTGGCTAAAATAAATTAACTTATATAATAACCTTAACCTGGATGATAGTTTTAAGTGATTGTGTATATTTGCTGCTCAACTTGCTGTTTACTTATGTATGTAATCCCATATTAAAATGCAATGCTAGGTACACAGATCAGTGATCATCCAAAAATATTAAAAATCGGATACTTTCCAATTTGAGATCCTATCCAGGATTTCTAAGTTGAGTAACATTACTTGTCCTGAAGCACATCTCTATTTCTTTTTTTTTTTTTTTTGAGACATTTTAAAATAATATAAATTCTTTTTCAACACAAGCAAAAAATATTCTGCATGCAAAAGAAAATATCCAGCTGATAAGGACTGTAGGTAAGGGATGCCAAACTTCTGGAAAGTCACACAGAGATGAAAGATGGCTGAAAAACTTTCTTAAGTAGTTACAGCTGTTAGATTTTTTGTCCTCTTAATATCTACAATGATAATGAGAAGTAGCATTAACATTCATTAATGTTGCAATTTATGTACGCTTGATTTTCAGTTTGTTTGAACATGTTAAAATCCTCGAATTCCCTTTTAATATTCTTTTTAAGTTTAGTAAGTCTTTTGAGAACATCTTACCTTGTTTTCTGGAGAAATTATTAATTTATTTGGTGTTCATATTTCTTCAGTGGACAGAAATTCTTGAAAGTGCTGTGGAAGTTCCTAAAGTTAAGCTCTTAGAAATTAATTTATTTTACTGGCCGTATTTACCATCTTGACACCCACAATTTTTTGACTATCTTAAATAGCACAAAGAAAGAGTTAACAAAGCAAATATTTAATTTATTTTGACTCCATGGTCAAACTCTTCTAATAAGATGGTTTTGTCCAGAAAACTGCTATAGAATGTCTGTTTGCATCATGTTAATTAGCTGTATTTTCCTTTTTTCCAAACAAGCAAATACACACAACAAAATTCTAGTTATGCTACTCTGTTGGTAGTCATCCACGGTTACAATGAAACTGAAGCAAGTGGTTGGCTTCATGTCACTGCCAAAGTCTGGGAAAAAGCTGGGAATTCACTTCTGGTTTCCTGAGGCCCTGCTGTCATTCTAAATTCATTTCTCCCTGTATTGTTCACTGCTCGAGCTTTGGTTCCTGCAATGATGCTCAGTGCTGGTATCTCACTAATAAATTCTCTTCTGCACGGATGAAATGAATTCCTATCAAATTTCCATTTATTAAGGCAATCAAACTGTGTTACTTCTTCCAAAGCCTGGCTTTATAGATATGTTTGGAAAACTACAAACAACGATATTGGACATTTACCTCACTTGGAGTAAAAGAAAGCAGCAAGCCAAGGCATGCAGCTGCATGTCTGCCCATGTACTCTTTGGTTCTTGTGTTACCACAATTAGAAAATAGACCTGCCTGCTGTACTGGAGCTCTAGTAATGAAAATATGCTAAATATTACATTGCACTTGGCATGTTGTATTAGTCATAAGGCAGTGTTACATGGCCTCCATCAGGCATGTACAATCATTTCTGGTTATATTAGGTAGGTTGCTTGGATTGAAGACAACATTTTCTGTGTTATACAAAAGGGCCTAGAGATTTTTCTCCTGTGTTTTCATTGTATTGAGAGAAATGCCTTTATCTCCAGGTAATTTATGCACTCGTGGTGAGAGAGCTGCCACTAAGGGCATGAATAAGCCATAAATGAATGGAGTTATCAGAAATCCCAGGCCTTACAGATTCTTTTATAAATGGGTGGAGGAAATGATTTGCAGTCGGGGCCTTTAGCATGAGTTGATAAATCTCTCAGTGTGGTTTTTTTTTTCAGTTTTGTGGTATTTTTTTATAATCTCTCACCAAGATGCATGTTCAGTGCAGTAGCTTGTCATGCATTGTTGAGCAGGTCCATTGTGGCACTGTGCCCACATGGAGTTCCCAAAAGCCAAGACCCTCATATTTAGGTATGTCAAGTCACTGCAATTCGTTTGATATCTGAATGAAATAAGGCCACTTCTTTGGCTGCCAAGTTGTGGCAGTCTCTCTCATCTCATTGTCTTTAAATGCTTTTTGTGGGAGAGAAGTCTCAGACTGGGTCATATTTTCCTTTTTTCCCATTCCTCCTTGCATGTTGAATTCTCTCTGGGAGATCTAAGCACTAAGCTGTGTGCTGAGTGAGCTGAATGGGGCTGGGTGAAGGGAAGGGATTTGCATTGCATCAGAAAGCTGTGAAAGGGTGGTTTTTTAAATTTTTCTCTGTAGCAGGACTGCTCTGTTCTGTGCTGATTCTGCTTTTGGCAATGTGCTTGCCCCATGAGCTGACCTTTTCTGCAGAGCTGTCTGGGTGGCACTGGGGGAGCAGCAGAAGCCCTGGTGCACCATCTGCCTTCTGCTAACAGTGCTGTCTGGCAGCTTCCTTCAGTGCATGTTGGGAGGAAAAGGACACTTGATTTTTGTGGGAATTATTCCTAAGGGATCAGGTGATGGAGATGAGATTCTGTCTGTCCCTCCACTGCATGCACCATTACAAAAACCATACAAGCCATTCTACTGACACCTTGAACTGCTGCATTCTTCATTAGATAAGGACTGAGATTTACTCTGGTCAGTGACAAAAGATCATCCATCAGTTTTAATACTTTCAAGACTCAGTACCTGCTGATACCAGGTTTGGAATACCTGCTTAAATAAGGGAGATGGGGTTTGAGTTATTTTTTAAAACCTTTCACATTAGAAAGATCACTGATTGCACTTCTGATCTGTAAAGAGAAGGGGAACATTCAGCTGCACTCCAGTAGATCTGTGACTTTAGATGACTTCAGAAATGGAAAGTATGATCATGACATTTCTCTTGTAAGTTTAACAGTTATCAAAATTTAATTTCAGGCTTTGCAGTCGGTTCTGACTTCTAAGAAATCGGTATCAGAAACACCTCAAGCAATGGATGACTTCTTCTGTAATTTCCTGGTCAGACTGGGAATGTCTAGAACCCTTGACTGCTTCCAGACTGAATGGTAAAATAATTTAAGTGGCCATGTTGCTTTGGGAATTAGATGGTTAGGATTCTAATATTTTTGGTATTTCAGGATATTTTTTCAGAAAACTCTCCTGAGTACATGTCATTCTTAAATATGTAGTGTTTTAACAAACAAATGTGTTCCTGGTGAGAATGAGGAACCCTTGTTCAAGTAATTGGTAATTTTTGGTACAGCAGTTAAGAAATATCAATTTTTATTTTTTAAGATTTAGTTTATACAGTGATCAGAAGAATAATAAACTCTTGAGTTGTTGCTCTCTTCTTTTTCCAGGCTTTTGTAGATTGCAGGGTTTTTGTCCATGCTTTATGCAAAAGATTAAAGGTGCAACTTTGTTGAAATACACCACTCTCGTCATACATCCTGCAGAATGGATACTTTTTTACTGTTGATTAAAAATTACACGTTAGGAATGCTGCAAAGCTTTGGAAGAAAGCTGAATTACTTTGGAGCAAAAAATGTCACTTGTCATGAAGTTCTGTTGAAATAACATAAAGTTACAGACTTGCTTTGAACCAGCAGGTTATGTTGGAGAAATTCTGACAAGTGGAAACACCTCCCTTTGATTAACCTTGTTCTGAGTTCCAAACATGAGAAATTCAGAGGGGTTTTTTTAGTAAAGTCTCTTGAAATTGTGTAATTTGAAAATTAGAGGAAGTTAGAAACATCTTAGTTTTTCATACAAAAGCATTGAAGCTTTTAAATTTTCTTAGAAATATTCTCAGGTGTGGAATCTGTGCTGTCATTTGCAAGGCTCTGGTCTTAATCATCAATCAGGCATTGCCTTTGGAATTAATAATGGTCTGCTATTTGATAGCATAACGATGGACTTGAATGATTCCTTGGAGAAGGAGCACTCTACTTCTGTGTTCTTTCTCAATAAAAGAACTGCTATGAACAGCATTAAGTTTGAAGTCTAATAGTTTTTATGCTAAAAGATAATTAATAGTAGACAGAGATAAATAGTGACCTTCTAATAAAGCTACAGCTTTCTTTGAAGCACTTAGGGTCTGAATTTATATCAATAGCAAAATTAAAATTGCTTTTTAACAGAAAGGGCCTGTTAAATCCTGCTCAATCTTGTAAATTCTTAGCTGTACATATATTTTTTTCTATACATAATACTTTTAATTTCAGTAGCTTTAAAAATGAGCTCAGCATGTCAGTATCTAATCTTACTGTATAGAGACTCGGCATTAATACCTTGTTTCAAAACGTTTCATGTTGGTTGGAAATGGATAATTTACAATATTAATGAATGTGAGAGCAGATTAGTGTACTTGGGTTCCTCATTATGTATTGGGACGACACTCTTGCTCTCATGCTGTGGTGATCAAGTACTAATGGAATTTAAAATGAGAAATTAATTAACGTAGAGAAAATTTATCAGAAGGCTGGCTTTGAAATTATTGTCTGTCTGAGATCTAAAGGTCACTTAAATGGGACCAAATTGTCTGTGTTTACTTTGGAGTTTAGGAAAACACTGTTACTCTATCCAGCTGTATAAAATGCTGTGATTTTATTATGGTTTATTTTATGCCAAGACTCTTATTTTTCAGTGAAGTAATGAATAATTTTATAGCAGTTGTAATTATTTTCTTCTTTAATTATGTAGGCTGTTTTGCACATAAACACTTCTGCACTTTTGATTCCCATTATACTTTAAGGAACATTACAGTTAAATTATTTTTTGAGTATCTAATTTTCCATTAAACTTCCCATTCATTTGTTACACAAGACTTGATAGCACATTTGTTGTTTATTGAAGACACTGGATTGACAGCTTTTAAGTATGAAGTGCAGAGGCTGATCAGCTGTGAATTCCTGCATCTGCCAGTCTCTCTCTCCTAATTCCAAGAGCCCAGGTCATCCTGGGTTATCAGTTTATTACACAGCCTCTGTGCAACTTTATTCCTTTGAAATTCAGTTTCTAGCAGTTATAATGTAAATTATATAGTAATAATATATTATTTTCAGTCAGTCTGCACTGAGCTTTGATGACAAAATCATAGTTAACCATCTGTCCTTAGGCTTCTAGATTCTTGGTTGATTTTTAATAATGATTTAAGAATTATAGCTCAGTAGTTCTGAAAAGCTTAGTAAAATACCTGTGTGTGCATGGAACTAATTTAATTTCCATGTGCAGTGACAGAAGTGAGAAGAGCAGCTATTTGGCAGTCGGCTGGGTATGGGGGAGGTCTGTGAGATCTACAGGACCAGGCTGATGGAAGATAATGAGATTTCTCAGTGTTATTTGTTGTGTGGTTTTTCATTTCTGCTGCATGCACAAAAACATTCACTTTCAGTGCTGTTCTTAGACAATGGTATAGTGAATTTATTGGTATTAATTGTGTTTCATGAAAGCTGTCTGTCAGAAAATTTTGCTCTGTTGGATTTGAGGTTTATCAATTATCCATGTTTGAGTCTTCATGCAAATACTTGGTTGGTTTTCATGAAGGGAAATTAGGGCATTCAGTGGAGAAATAGTTCCAGCAAGTGAAGGAGTACCTAGAGTTGTGAATTTCTGCCATGAGGCTGCCCTTATTTACAATATTTCTGATAGGAATTGTGCCTTTGCATCAGTCACTCTTTGGAGGAAAGAAAAAAGCCCCCAGGCTTCTTTCTTAGTGTTAAAGCCTATTCCTACGGTAATTTACTTAAGAAAATGAAGTGATGATAGAATGAATTTTACTGTGAACATGTTCAGATGAATTTTTCAAAAACCTTTCATCTACTGGTGGTGAATGTGGCAGGTTAATTCAGAGGGATGAGCATTCCAAGAAGTATCCTCAGAATGCAAATATGTAGCTGACTGTAGGAAGTCATTTGGACAGAGATACTAACATTCCCCTTAAGTTTTTTGGAGGATGTTAAATAAAGGTTGCTTTTTTTAGAAATGCTTTTTGTTTCAGCAGCATGATTATTGATGAATGATATCGATGATTACTGTCTTCAGATTTCAGATCTGCTGCTTTATATCCAGGCCAGGTGTAGGACACTGTGCATAGTATGATTTTTATTTCTATTTACTTCTGCTCTTTTCCTACTTCTTTATTATTTGGAAACAACAAAACAAAATTGACAGACTCAATAAATTTTTCACCTGGAAAAGCAAAAATGTTCATGTTGCTCCTTCTAGTGAGCTCCCACCCAGAACATCTTCCCAGCAGGGAAGGTGCTTGTGGTGTTATGGTGTTCAATCTGATTAAAGTTAGTTACAACTCCATGCACCCTCTGGTGAGCTGATGTCATGGCTGAGATCTCACTCTGGTGTCTGTATTCTATTCTTAGGTTTTATTGACAGTCCTAAAATAGGATACTGAATGAGTAGATGCTATTGCTGTAGTTACAGAAATTCCAGCATTCCAGGCTGCTTCAGATACTTTTTCTTCTGAAAATCCAAGTCAGTCTGTGCAAGTATTTTAACTAAAGCAGTCGTCAGCTTTCTACATCATGGAATCAAGTATTCTCAAGGGGCTGGTAAAATAGGTAAATATTGGTAAATATAATTAAATAAGGAGAAGGAAAATAAACAGGAAGGAATTTCCTTAGATGAGCTCTGTATTCCATGTTGAAAATGGCTCATTCATCCTTATTTTCTGCAGATTGAGTCCTCAAAAATAACTCCCAAAAAACTTGATGTATTTGAGCATGTGAGATAAAAAGGACTGTGAGTACATACAAATGCTATTTGAACAAGATTATTTGTTTCTGCCTTTTTTTAAAACTATTTAAAGGAAAGGAAGAAAATAATTGTTTAATGTGAAGTACTGTTATGTGTCTTGACTATTATGAACAATACACATTCTAGAATGAAAAGCAGGAGAATAGAACAGCGTGGTGGGGTAGTCAATTCACTGCTGTGCACTCTAATGATCACAGAAGGTAAATGCTTTAAGATGGTAAATATTGCTGTGCTTCTACTTTAGGTAAATGGTAGCACGAGAAGGAAAACATGAGTGAAGAAATGGAAACATGGAATGAAATAAGTAAAATAAATCTGTTTCTTTTCTACCAGGTATGAACTCATTGAGAGAGGTCTGCTCACAGTTGAGGCTGCTGGGCTGGTTCCAGATGTGTACACCCGCAACCAGCAACTGGAGGCTGAGAATGTGAGCTTGAAGAAAGATCTGGAAAACTACAAACACTCTGTCAAGTATGTTATTTGGTTTTATTGAAACTTTATATATGGTAGTAGATGGCCAGATAAAGTAAACCCAAGTACTTAGTGAAAAATAGTAAATTTGTTATGCTGGCTACACAGACTTTTACTTCTAGGTGACATTTATAATTAAAGCTCTTTTTCTGAGTTCTGTTAGAAACGTAAATCTTAATTTCTTTTATTTGTATTTACTAGGCAAAAAATAATTTCAATATCCAGTAATCATAACAAATTACTAGAGAGAATCGTGAGAGCCTAATAGGTAGAACTAAAAAATAAATTGTTATGTGCATTTTGTATTACAGTACTATAAATTACAGCTACCACAAATCTTCAGCATCAGAAAAAAAATCACTATACATTTAGTCTTCATTTTTTTAATTACAAAAAAATCTATCACTCTGGGCCCAGTGGTAATGGTGTGTCAGTGTAAATTACCATCATTGATTATACTCGTGTGTACATTGTAGTAGTTTATTCTACAAGTCTGCAGTACCTCAGTCATGAGAGCTGAAATACTTAGCCTATGAAATGGAGGGATGTGGTAAGGAACCCTACATTGCATGGCCTTTTTTGGAGAATGATGTTTGCACGTGTGTGCTCATTGAGAACATGCTCTGAGGCCTAATGATGCACTCACTTCAGATTTGCCAGTGTGTGATTTCAAAACATGGAACTGTAAAGTTAATTCCATCGCTTTGATTTTCCTCAGGATTGCTCAAGTTGCTAATTTTCATTTAGGTTGTTCTTTTCTATGAAAAAAAACCAACCCCAAACTATTCAGATGTTAAATAATCATTGCTGCTGATAATGGTAATTAAATTATTTTCTGATTGTAATGATTTATTACATTTTAAATTAATGAATTAATTGGCCACAGTCAAGTAGTTTAATAAACAGTGGCAACAATCAAGTCAGATATTGTGTAGTCTAAATATAATGATGCACTGGGAGACAGACCATAGAGAAAACATTTCCTTTTTTAATCTGCAGCTTCTTTGGACAATGAGTACTTAAAGATTGTGTCTCCTATAAGGAGGGAGAATAAGAAGCAGTCATGCAAAGTAAAAGAAAGAAGGACAAAATGTGGCCCTCATGAAATTTATTCTTGATAGTAGTAACTTCAATGAGCATTATTTTCTTTTTCTCCCCACTTTCTCTCTTCCTTCCCCTCTTCACCCCTTCTGTGAAGCAGAACGTGCTATAACAAAATAATCTGAGTGGATTATGACTTGATAAGAGTTTTCCTGGGTTTGCTGTATTGCTACATGATTATTTAACAATATAAAGCTCAAACTCATTTCACCATGATCTGAATGAGCTGGGTTTTTTTTTTAATAAGACTATCTTTTTACTCCATGGGGTACCAGAAAAGTTTTTTTAGCAGCTGTCTGGTAAAAAGGCTGAAAGATGACATGATAATGTGCAAGCAGGAGAAGGAAAGAAGTGCAGGTATGTAGGATTGCTACAGGCTCTCTGTTAGATAAAATCCCAACACTCAAGTTGAACTCTCAAACTGAAACTGCTTTTTCACATTCTGGTGTTTGTTGGAACACAAAGTAGCAACACTCTGGTGGCAAACAAATGGGTCACATCGTTGGTTTGGTGATGCAGAGAGGGCACCAAATTCAGAGCAGTTCTGTGTGACACAGATTCTGTGTGAGCACATCTTGTTCACCGGTGTTTGCTGTCACACACTGCAGGTATTCTGTATGTGCTTTGTGAAAACACTCCTGAAACCAGACCCCCCCTTTGTCCACTTGCAGGGAGAGCTTTATTTCCATCTTCTGTCAGCTATTACTGGAATGCAGTCTGGCAGGTGTAAAACTTGGTCTGTGCCAACAATACTCTGTCACTACTTCACTTTTCAGCCTTTTCATTTCAAGTAACTTTCAAAGATCTCACTGATACTAATGTTAAAAGTTCAGCATTTGTGACATTCATTTCATCTGCACTGTTTTGAATAATCTATGGATTAAACCAGTACTGCATCTGAGATAATTGAAATGTGGGAAATTGAACATTTTTGTTGTACATACATGAGCTACAGTGTTCTTTTATTCCTTTTGGATAAACCCTGGTCATAATACTGTATACTAAATCCATTTAGTGTAGTGACTGTTAACAGTGACATTTTTTTCTTGTTCATGCATTCAGTAACTTGAGTCACTGCCTTTGCTGTGATAAAGCAAATATTCTAACAGGAGCCAGAATTACCTGGAGGACAATGTGAATTTTCAGAGAGAATGACTCAGAAAGCAGAATGCCTGAGAGCATGGGAGAAATGCTGATTTGACTGGTTAGAAACCAAGGATTTTGTGAGCAAGGAAAGTCCTCTGTTTTGCTCTGTGGATTACTCAGAAAACATTGATTGAGAGCTACAGTGCTGTGAAATGTATTTGAGGAAAGCTTTTAATTACATTTGGTATTTCTGAGCTTGGTATTCTTGACGGCCGTCTCACAGCACAGGGATGTTATTTGGGACTTAGGCAGTATGGGGGCCCAGGATAAATGCCTATAAACCAATTACCTCCTGCTTTAATGTTATTTAGCAATTGGTGGAAGACATTTAGTGTCTAGAAGCTATCTGTAATTGTATTTTGGGTATTTTAAATACAGTATTTACATGATTGCATGCAAGCAGGGGGGCAAATTGAGTAGATTGCAGGTTGTTGGTTAGATTTCACTGTGGTGTTTCATTATTTAAAGAGAAAATTGCAGTTAGCTTCATTTCCTCTGTATCCTGAGCATGTATTTTTTATAGCTTGTGCAATGTCTGAAGGCATCTTGATGTTTCTGCATACATTAAAGGAAATAAATATCAGCATAATCCTTTTACTCCAAAACTAAGTATAGTTGTTATCTTAAGGTTTAGATACACCACTGATCTTTATTTAAAGGATTTCTAAAAATGACCACTGTGTGGTGACAGAAATCAAAACTAATTTTACATTAGTTTGCCATGTGACACTAGTTAAAAGGTACCTCCAATGTGCTCCCTTTATTTTATTTTGAAGGCTACATTTGTGGCCCAGTTGATTGCTAAGGGGTGTTGTTACCTGCTGAATGTTTCCCTAATGAGCTTTCATCCCAATATGCAGGACAAAATTGTAAATAACACTGAAAACTCTTAACTGTTAAACGAAACTAGTTAATTCTAATTCATCATCTTCAGTGGTGTCTGGTCACTTAATATTCTGGTAACATTTTTCAGAACTGAAAATGGATTGCAGTTTCATAGCCATGTTAAACTCTGCCTATGTGATGATATGAAATCATTTGAATACCAGATACTTTTGTGTTTTCCTATGGCCAGACCCTGTCTGTTTCCTATTTATTTAAACATGTGCAGTCAAACAAATATTGTGTCAGGTTATGACTGTGTTGGTCACGGGGACTGTGAATTTTGATATTTAAAAGCTCTTAAAATGTTTAGGAGTTTCTTATGTAGATGGAATCAAAGTTGTGCCAGGCTTTTGCCTGAGGTATGTAGTTGAGTTCACAGCATCAGCTAGGAAGTGTAAACATTTGCAGGTACCTTTCTTTCCTTTTTGGAAGCACACCCACCTTACAGCCAAAGTAATGGTCACAACAGAAAGTAATCCTGGAAGTCATATTTATTATTTTGGTTAATGACATTACCAACAAAATTCTCAGTTCAGCTGCTGTTTCTGTACCAAAATCTAACTATTCCTGCACATATTTTTCCACTTACACCATGGAAAAAAGAAGTGCACAGTTTTTGTGTCGTGCACCATATTTAAATGCAGCTGTTTAATTGAATGGTGCATTTAGCATCTTTGCTGCCAAGTGCCATGCAAATTAGAGTAAAAGCCTGATACTATATGTTTTCTAAAACTGTCTTTATTTCAATTAAAATTTTAGGGCTATGACTTGCAGCATCTCACAGTCCCACCTGAATTCAGTGGAGTCAGAGCGTGTAATCTGCCTCTGAAAATCCCTGCTTGGGTTTGTTGCACCCTGCAACTGGCAGTTATGGATCTTCTTCCTGGATCTCTTATTTTGGCATACTCAGTTTTCATTTTGGTTTTATCTAATTCTTCAGCTCCTGTTGCAGAGGAAGTAAGCCTTATTTCTGCAAGAAGCAAACGTCTAATTTCAGTGCAAGTTAATTTCAAGCTTCCTTTGCAATTAAACAATTCATCTACTAATCTTTCCTGCCAAACCCGTAAAAGTAAAGGAGAAAATATACTGAATATATGCAGAGTGTTTTGGTTTTTAGGTTTATGGAGCAGAGCCTCTCAGGGTGTCCCATGGCTGTGTGTAGAATGTGCTCAGAGAGTAACAGGTTATCAGTGTGTTTACAAGTAATTTTGAAATTGAGTCCTTTTTCTGCCTGATCTCACATGCCAGGGAGCACCTGAGGACATGATTGAAGAGAGCCTAAAATGTTTTTGGCCCAACTTTTTCCAGAAGGCCCTCCAAATTAACTTGCAAGGCAACAATACAGATGTGATATAAGTATTTTTTGAAAAATCAGTATTTTTAGTATCTTAGCAGTATTATCAATACACTTTTACGTAGAATTTAAGACAAGAAGATTGATTATTGTTACTCCATGAGACTCCTTGTACTTAACATAAAGTTGACCTCAACTCTGTGATTTATAATGCCAGAATCCTTATGGATTCTGCCTGAAGGATCTGAGGGAAACACAAGAGTACCCATGGTTTTGAACCTCAGCTGGCAGCAAAAAGACCTCAAAAATACATATTCTCCAACACAGGTTGTACTACTAAGACCTTCCAGCTTAGAGGCAATAGACATGTGCAGATCTGAGAATTAATTCCATATGTATTCAGCATACCTTGATGCAATTCACAGGGGGAGACTAACACTGCTGCCTTGCATTTTCTGTTTTTCCACACAGTAAAAAAGAAGAGGCTCTGCTAAAAATGCAGAGAGAACGAGATTTCCATCGAATGCATCATAACCGAGTGGTGCAGGAGAAAAACAGGCTGATTTCTGACATGAAAAGGTACAAAATAATTTTAGTTGCTGCACATGTAACGTTATATTTAATGTTTTGAATTGTTGCCTGATAATGAGATAACACTATGGAATCTGAAGTGAATCTAGCTGCATTTAGTTATGTCCTGGTAAACAGCAGCTCCATGTGACCATCGTGCACACAGATGAAAAAATTTCCAATAATTTATTTGTGGTGGATTCTCTATGATGTAATATGCTTGAATGAATACATAGTATTTCTAATAGTTGGAAGCAAAAATTAGTTGTTTTTTTTTTTACCCAGATCTTTTGCCACAAATAGGTGGTGATTTCTGTTGAGAACCTTTGCCCATTTAAAGGATAACTGGTATCACACCAAGTTCAGAACCTTGGCATTCCTGATTCTCATCGTTGGTATTTTCTGTCACCTTGAACTTCCAATAAGAAACTTGCTATGTTGCTCTGGTTGCAAATAAACCCATATTAGTCCATTGCTCCTTAGTTATAGTGATTTAATTTCTAAACAGGAGCTGAGTTTAGAATCTTTTCTTTGCACATGTTTTAAAACAGCACTGGGGAGAGGCTTCCATCTGCAGCTCCAGTTAATTCCCCGAGTTGTGCTGGCATTGTTACCAATCAGTGCAGCTCCACCCTTGGAATGCATACATGCTGATGCAAGGGAGCACTCTGCAATGATTTGTCCTCTGTGACTCAGCGTTTTGCAGGTTGCAGTGGCTCTGGGGCTGTTGGTGTCACGTGTTTCTAGTGAGACATGACATGTCTGAAGAATTAAAGTGCTCTTTATTCTTTTTTAAAGATTAAAGTGAAGAATTAAGTATTCACAGTGTAATGTGTCGAGAAGAAAGAAATTTGGATCGTATTGTGACTGTTTTGTCCAGATGAGGATCTTATTTGGTAGTCAGATAACAGCTGTAGGTCTCTTTCTTCCAGTGAAATACAATCCATCTGTAAGAAAACAAATTAGCCAAAATTAATGTGCAGTATGTGTATGAAGGATTAACAACAGGGCAAAATTGGATGGATTGTTTTAAGAACAAGCTGTGAATCCTCTTATTCATTCATCTGGCTTTCTTTTTTTTTCCCTTTGTTGTGGTATTGCAGTTGGTTGGTTACATACTAAACAGCTTTGCTGTCTCTCTGTGTTGACCTTTTGATAATTTTTCTCATTTGTTTGGGGAGGGTAAAAGTTATGCAGATATAAATCTCTGATTTAACTAATCTGTGAGGAATCATTTTTCCTCTTGCTCACAGGCTGAAGGCACATTATGCATCCTATGAACCAGTGCTGAAGCAGCTGTCAGAAAAATACCAGAATTCACTGACACAGAAAATGTTAACCAGTTTGGAGAGAGACAAAGCAATGGGGCAGGTAAAAATATGGTGAACACCACTTGCACAGCTGTAAGGAAGCTTCTGGTTTTTACTTTGATATATATACACAGGTAAAGCAACTCACTTATACATTATTCTGAAGCAGAACGTTTTGTGAGTTTCATGATTTGGTGAAATATTAGCATATGAAATATGGTGCCATAGAGTAATAGATGTCAGTATATCCTTGCTCAGTGCTGCTCTACATGAGTCAGCAGTGTGCAGCAGATGTGATATTCACACAGATTCCCATGCTTCCATCTATGCCTTTGGAAGTAACTGATTTTTACTTCTTTTACTACTGTTACTTATTTTAATATTTCCTAAATATACCCAGTAGTAACCTGCTAGTTTAGAAAAAAATACATGAAGAGATCAGAGACAGTTTTTCTGTCTTGAGTGGAGTATTTGAACATTATTTTTACTTCTGTAATCTTATCTGATTACAGAATATAAGATATTCTTCCCCTTTGACAGGTAGCACTATGAGCACAGATAGAAGGGATGACAGACAGAAAATTACCTTGCATGTGTTTAAGAAAAGAAGTAGGAAAAATAAAGGAAAAACCCTACCCAAATGCATTCCAGCATTTGATGAAAATGATTGCATTGATGCTACTGCTACTATTTCAGCATTTCCTCCTTTCCTCTGCCTCCAGTTTTTCTCTGGTCAACTGAGGGCTTACTTAGAAAACAGTGAAGATTACATGCTTGAAATTTCAATAAGGAAAAGAAAATGCCCTATAGAAAAAGGAAGTTTATGCCCATATGGAGTTCTGCTGAATCAGGAATACAAAACATGGAACAGTTCCAATGCTGTGAAATTTCAGGGGCATATTTATATATTTATATATGTTTATATATATTTATATATATAGGACCTCTGCAGTTATGGACTGTATTAATTCCAGAGTAATGATATTTTGTAATGCATAACACCATGTTTTGTTGTGATGAAGCTGTAAGTCATATTAAATCATCATTAAATTCAAGATTAGTGCAGTGATAGCAGTTGCTCCAAGTCACTGGTATAGTCAGAACCCTGGTATTTTGTATATCTGCATTGTTTTGTTGTAAAAGTGTTTTGAGAGATTCTGGATGGCTTGTGTTTTATTGCATTGTTGCTCTGGGTCTTTCCAAATCTTGAATTAGGAGTTCTGTTCATAACTTAGAGGCAATAATCAAGAGTAAAAAATTATAGATGGAATTAATAAAGTACACCAGCATGAATGCTGTGATTTGTGAACAAATACTTCAAAAGCAATGTTTTCATATTGCTTCCTCTTGTTCTTTCCTCTTTTTAAAATTAGGTTACAGGTTTGCAGGCTGCCTTAGAAAGTTTAGAGTCCGGATATAATAAGCAGATCCCTGAGACAAAAGGTAAAATAGTCTCATCACCAAACTTAGACTGGTTATCTATTATTTTTGTTCATGTGATGCTTCTCAAAATAAGGTGTAACTGTAAATCAAAAATACTTGCACTCTGTTTTATCAGCTGACCTGGTGCCTGAGCAGCAGTTTCATTATTTAAATATTTTATTCTGAAGTGTATTCACTAAGGAGAGTGAGACTGCTGGAGGCAACACGGACTATATGAGTAACTTGGAAGGACTTTGTCCTGGAAATCTATTTTGGTACTGTATCTGCTGCTATTCCCTTTTTTTGTTGTGTGCATGTGTTTTTTCTCAGCTCACCTTTCAGAAAGCATACATTATGGTCTGGAAACATTTTGAAAATACTGGTGTTATGAAATCCAGACTCTCATTTTTACAGAAGATTGCTAAGATGATATAATGCCTTCTGGAATAGTATCTGTATGGTACCACACTATTTATCTGTGTAATTTTTACATTATATTTTCTAACTCCATCAGGAAAACCCTAGCATCTCTGCTTTCCTAGGTAAATGAAGCTCATGCTATCACATTCTCTGAGCATCAATGACATTAATAATTTTGAACCTATTTTTCAATTGCAGCTACATTTGATAGTAAGTAAGATAAGTTTCAAATAAACCAGGTTTCATAAATTCTGAAAATAAGTGGGATGGTGCAAAAGGGAAGTGGTGAGCTCCATCTTCTGACAACAGAGTATTCACATGTGAAGGGTGTGGTGCACCTGCCTTAGTCATGAGCAGGACTCCCATAGAGATAACTGTTTACTTGAAATTAGAGAACTCCACAAATATTATACAACTCCCAGGTGAAGAATTTGTTCCAATTATGGCAGCTTCAATACCTGTTTTGGAGGGTTTTTTGTTGGATTGTTTTTTTTTTTCCCCCATGTGTTAAAGCCTAAACCTTCTTTGGCACGGGTAATATACCCCAGGTAAAAAGCCATTGAGTTACCCCAGCCTTTAACAATCAAGCTTCATTAGTTCCCATGTTCCTGGAATTACTACCATGGTGTCAAGTTCCTCTAGAAAACACAAGCCTGAGAAAAAGAATAGTAGCCATATACATTTATTTTGGGATTTTTTTTGTGTTTGTGGTCGAGTGAAGAATTGCCTTCCTTTTCTATTAAGATGCACTCTGGCTTGAGGATATAAAATGTTGGATCTTCCCCAGCTTGTGTTTTACAGTGTGGATGCCCCATCTGTCTCCTTTTCATATTAAACATACTTTCATTTGTTGTTTGATTCCAAAAACCATTTCCTGGCTGTTCAGTCTTGTTTATTCTCCAGAAATCTTGAGAGCACTTTGTAATACCAAGAAGTGACAAGCAAGGGAGCCATTTGATAAATAATTATATAAAAAACCCCTTGTCAGTCTCCAACACAAATTAAGCTCATCAGCCACCCACGTGCTTCCACAAGTCTTAATTTGCTTCATACCTTGAGTATCATAAATTAATCAGTATTTCTATTCATTTTGTTTCAGTGCTTTGTCCTCTAATACTGCATAATTTTTATTGCCCTCTGTAGTAGGTCCTACTCATGTTCTCAGTGGGTAATATTGTCTCTTTTTAAAATAGTTTCTGCTGCCTCTTGAGAAGTGATCATATTCTGTTCCCTCTTGATTTCTTATTCGTGAGAGAGTATAACTATAACTATGAGAAAAATGGAGAAATGTTTGCTTACTCTTTATCAAAATTCAGATTGCTGTTGGAGCTGGAAATCTGGACTGTGAGGATACTTGCAGCTGCACTTTTCAGCCTTCTGGGATGACTTCTGTGCATTGGGATGCTTGAGTTAGAGGACAATGCACACCCAGAGTGGCAAGAGGTGCTTGGCCAAGCTGAGCTGCCTCTCCTGGCAGGTGCCTGCTTTCACTGCAGTGCAGAGCCTGAAGGAAGCAGGAAGGCTCTGCCCAGCAGCAGGGCCTTGCCCTTCACTGCTCCTGAGGCTTTATTTGTCCCACAGCCTGACTCAACTGTGGAACCCCTGGGATGCTGGCTTGGTTAGAGGGCACTGAGGATGGCTTTTAATCAGTTTTAGATTTGCTGGACTGTGAGGCTCTGCACATTCACTCCAAGAAAGCAGGAGAGGAGCTTTTTACAAGGGCATGTAGTGACAGGACAAGGGGGAATGGCTTCATGCTGAGAGATAATAGGTTTAAATTAGATACTGGGAAGAAATTCTTCCCTGTGAGGCTGCTGATGCCTGGCACAGGTTGCCCAGAGAAGCTGTGGCTGCCCCATCCCTGGATGGGCTCCAGGCCAGGCTGGACAGGGCTTGGAGGAAGCTGGGATAGTGGGAGGTGTCCCTGCCCATGGCAGAAGGGTGGAAGTGGATGAGCTTTAAGGCACCTTGCAATCCAAACCATTCAGTGATTGTGGGTTTGGTTGTAGTTTGGGGCTGCTTTTTTTCTCTCTGAGTCATACAGTGCACAATAAAGACCAAAGGGAGACTTCTTAGTATTCACAGTGAGTTTGCATTGTAAATTTGTATCTGGCAGGTAGGTAGAAAAAAATTAATAGTACTTAATGTTAATTTTAGGACAACTATTCTGGACTTTATTACTCCAGTGTTTGATGTAGGAGCTTTCATCCTGCTGCATTTCAAGCAATTGAAGATAGCATCCACAATACAGAGTGTGTAATTTATTTACTAGCAGTTTTTTGCTGTCTCACTGTCAGGCTGCTGTTCAGCTTTGTTCAGAAATCCTTCAAGAGAAGAACATCTAATAATTTTTAAGACACCTAAAGAAACCTAATTCTTGCCTTGCTTGTTTCAAATTGATATGAAGGACATGTAGTAATTTGAGAGGAACTAGTCAGCAGTTATTGTTAGGACTTTGTCATCCTGAGGGTTGGTTCTCTCTCTCTATGCCCACTCAGAAATCAGCTCTGAAGAAAAAATTGTACTTTGAGTTCAGGTTACTTTTTAAAAAGTAACGGATTTTTTTTAAGGAGATTAGCATTAAAAATTGGTTGTGTTTTAAATCTGGTCCTTCCTAATATGATAGCAGGATCATACATAGAGAAATCTAATTATGAAAGAGAAAGCTGATATTTTTAGGGTGTTGGTGTATATTAACAGTGCTTGCACCCTTCCTTATGGATCCAAACACAGTGTGAAGTGATGCTCTGAAAAAAGACCCCTTTTGCCTGCAGGAATTTAGCAGTGTTGATTGTGGCTTGCTTATAAACCTAAGTGAACATTGCTATAGCAGCTGGTTCTAAACATGTTATAAAACTGCTCTTTGCTCAGTACTCTTCTTGTATTTTCTAAAAACAACATCTGCTTATTTATTACCCAATTATATTCAAAAGTTGAACTCCAATGAGTTTCTTTACTCATGGTTGAATTAACTCATTGCTAAGACTGTTAACTGTGCTTTTCCTTTCCTTGATCTGATGCAATTGCAGTTAGAAGGTCATGCAAAAAGAAATTTCAAGTGAGCCTGGTTGTGCCCATTCCATGTGCAATGGAATCAGAACAGAAAATCATTAAACCTAAGATGTTGACATCTAAGTGCAACAGTTCTTTGGAACTCATTCTTTATTTTTTTTCATAGTTACTGACTTTTAAAGCTCTGGAACTGTCATAACACTATTGCTTTATATGTATGTGTATCTTAAAAGAAACAACAAACTAAATACTCTGTGAGCAACATGCTGGTGGACAGCAGTTACTACATGAGTAGGTGTTAGACATAAAACCAATTTTGCTGTTTACTGATCCTCAGAGAAAGTTATTGTTCAGGATATCTGTGACAATAGCTTCAACTTTTAAAACAGTGAGAGTACATAAATACTAAAGTATTTTAAAACATAGTTATTTCCTCCAGTTTTACTCAGGTTGAGTGTGCAGGAAGGTTTTGTGTTGCTTGATGTGGTTTTTTTTGCCTCAAGACTGGAGGGAGTGTTTGGGGTATTTTACCCCTGCTTGAAGTCATCAGGTTTGCATTTTGGTGTAAAGGTCTTAATAAAACGATTTTACAAGAGCAATCATTTAGAAATGTGTAATGTGTGGTGCATTTGTTTGTCTGGATTTTTGCTGTATAATGTGTTCTTTCAATCAGAGATTACTTTCAAAGAATTGGAGGGATGTAAGTACCCAAATCCTGTTGGAAATCAGTATTACATTCTTTTTCATGTAGACCCTGTACATCCAGCAGTGCACTGCAGCAAGATAGAGGGATCCCAAAGGGCTGTTTGGATTTGTGTGAGCTGCCAGTGCAAAGGCTGTCAGAGAAAGCAGTGTCCTTTCTGCCAGGTCATGGCAGATACCTCCTGCTGTAATCCATGTGTGCTGTACTCTTCATCCTACCCTTTTCAACCTTTGATGATTTAAAGCTCTGTTACCTGCTTAGGATTTCTTTGCTGAGTTACCAATTCATCAGTAGTTCCTTGTTTGAAAGGTGGGTTGGCAGAAACAAAAGGAATTATGAGCTGTAAATCAGAATATTGCATTGGTGGTGGATACCAAATAGGATGCAGTGAGCTGATGTTTCCTGTGGCTCTGAAAGGATGCATCCATATTTCCCTGTGACTCTCTCTGTACTGCAAGATTATAGCATTTTTGGGGCCAAGTCTAGGGTACCCTTTAGGTAAAATGAAGGTATTCGTGGAGCAGGGATACAAGTAGCCCTGGAACACTTTATATGGATGCCACAGTAACCCGAGTATCTTTTTATTTAAAGTGGTATTTCTTTGAGAATTTCACATATTGGCCAATATTAAGTAAGGAGATCTTCCAGAAGAGTAAATGCAAAGAATTCTGATGATATTTTTGTTGGTTTTATTTCATAGTAGGCCATGATTGTACAAGGAAGAAAGGATTTGAAGGTCCCACCCAGAAAGCTCTTCGGGAAGCCAGGCAGCAAAAATTCCATGTTGTTGCAAGCTCTTCCTGTGGTCCAGATGATGATGCAGAGAAGAAGAAAAGCAGGAGAGATCTAAAGGTACTGTGTTCTTTCCAGCTGTACAGCATCAATCCTCTTGATACTAAGCTGTGCTGAAAGACACCTGACCAATGTGATTAAAAGAAGTCTGCTTAGTTAAAGTAAATAGGACAGGTAGGTAACAAGGTTTTTTTTTTTTATTTTTAATACAAGTTTCTATCAGAATTAAATTTTCAGGGAATTATAGGATCTCTGATTAATTGAAGCTAGCAGTCTACCTTTTGAGAATCCAGTATAATCATCTAGCAGAGGAGGAGCACTGGCTGTAATTGCTTCTTGCTCTGTTGTGCTTCATTTATAACTTAAGAAACACTGATGTGTTCCATAGTGCTTGCAAACTTTTCCAGCACTTCAGGCTGTTCTAGCTGGAACTAAAAGGGACAACATCTGTAAGACTAAGGGCAAAAAACTGGTAATTTCCTAACAGTCAGAGCTTCTAAACCTGAGTATACCAGAGGTACTTCAATTTAGAACTTGTGCAAAATCAAAATTAATTCCTGATTGATTTTTTTTTTTTATTTTTTACTATGGAAAAAAATGTTTACTTTATTCTAATTGTTTTATTTCTTGCTGTTGCATTTTAGGACTACATAACAATGCTCTTTTTTTTCCCCAAATTGAGGTAAATATTGTAATATCTAAAATTTCAGAAGCTCCCAAAACTGTTACACTGCTTTATTTTTGTTTGAGAACTAGAAGAGTTTAAACTGTGTTTTTTGAGAAGGAAAAAAGCTTTAGTTGATGGTGATATAGTCAGAAGCAACTTCAGTCTTTCCCTGTCTCCACAAGAATATGTCCATGGTAATTAATTTTTGTAGGTTTCTGTTTGCAATAGCATTTCATCTCCTTCACTTTGGCAGTGCACCTCTCCACAGACAAACATTTTAGTTCTGTTTTCATTCTTTTTTATGCTCCTGAGCCCTCAAATAAATAAAAAAATCTGTATGTATCTGTATCTCTTCTGTTGGTTACTGAAACATTTCTCACCATGTATAGCAAATATTTCTCCATACTGTCCCCACACCTGCAAAAATAGAAACAGCTTCAGATTTTTAGTCAATTATAAATGTCTGATTGGCTGATCTGCTTTGGTTAATTCACAGGATATAGCACATTATCTGAACTATATATACACAAGGTAAAAACTTGGAAACAATAAATACAGAGCTATGATGTAAAGCATACAGAAGAAATGCAAACTGGAACTGTCCACTGAGTATGTGGTGTTCTGCTGTCACCTCAGCATGGTGTGGCCTTTGTTGTGAGTAACAGAATTCTGTAACTAGGCTTTCCAGCTTGTGTGTTCAAACTTTATAATTCAGCACCTTAACTGAAAGGATTTAGAGAATTTACAAAGAGAGGTAAGAAAGAGAAGGGGAGCTGCTAGGGAGGAGAGAGGGCTTAGGAAAGGGAACAGGAGAAAAAGCATTGTTCTAAATGAGCTGTGAAACCACTTGACTCATTCTACTTTTTAGCCCCCAAAACCAAGCTCAGAGATCACAGCCTAACTCCACAGTGAGACATTAAATGCACTTCTGAAAAAACAAATTTGAAATATGAAAAATTGCTAATATGTCAACAAAATAGTTTAGCAGTTGTGCTTTACAAAGTGGTTGCATGTAGTGGCAACAAATCTGAGTTGCCTTCGTTGTCTGAACATCACATGAATTATTTCTGTTCCTCTGGAGTAAAAGCTCACCTGTACAGACATCATTCCAGGCTGGGTTCCAGCAGACATCTGCCCAACCTCAGCCTCCCTGCTGACAGAAGTTGCACTTTGCTTACTGCATGTAAGAGCAGGTAAGATCAACTAATCCATGATTATACAACAACTAGTTTTCATCGTGATCAAACCTGTCAGGCCTAGATTCAAACTGGAAATCCAATTACAAAGAGACCTGTGACCCGTTAACATTATCTCATGGTATGTGACACTCCAATGAAACAGTGTCTCATTTTCTGCAGGAAATGCTCTGATTATTAATTCATAAACTGTTTGGAGTAAAGACTTGGCATTTTATTTCATTTCATTGTATTCAAACAGAAACAATTAAGATTTTACTTTCCACTCCCAGAAGTGCTGTTTGAATACACAAGACAAACAACCCTGAACACTGTGAGCAGTGCCAGAGCTCTTAGGGTATGTTACAGATTTGTTACCATGAAAACGAAATGCTAATGTTGGATTTCATTTTCCTTAAAGTGATGTTGACATATGCAAAGGCTTTGTTTAAATATTGGAAAAAAAGATTGAAACACCAAAATCCATAACTTACTACAGAATAGTTAATTTAAAATATAAATACCACAGTTAGCACCTGAGCCTCTCCCCCCAGATTTCAGGGGTCTGAGCACTTATTTCATATTTTAATCACATTTCACTAATTTGAAAAGGATCTAGTTTTATCCATTAATAACTTTAGCTGAGCTACAATAAAATGGAAAACAAAAAACAAACAAACCAATTAGTATTAACTTTGGCCTCATTTAATCTACTTCTTTTGTGTGTGTATATCAAGCAGTAGAACATATATTACTTTTTTTGCCATATCCCTGAACCCCAAGCTAAGGTTAACTGCTGAACTGTAGACTGCAAACACTTCTGGAAGAATACCCCTTTAAAAATAGTGATTTTAAAAAATTGTTTACCCTGTTCAAGCACAATTACCATTCTGAACATTTTGACTTGGCAGTTGTGTATCAATTACAACTAACACTTTTATGTGTTTTATCAATATCAAAAAATACCAAGCAGATCACTGATAATTAAAACTTAGTATCAAGAGTTTCCAAATTATTACATAACTCTTCCCAACTCCTGCATCATAAACTTTACATTATGAAACAGACCTTGGGGGAAATAAAAGGAATAATAATCGGAAATATATTTTTGTGGAATTTAGATTTTCTTTTTCCTGTCACACAAGAAAAAGCTCTTCCTAAAAACCATGGACACTTTTCCAGTGAAATGAAGTTTGCCACAATAGCTTTGTAACTAAGGTACCCAACACTACTCATGTCTTGTGTAGTGCATTCTACTGCTAGTTAGTGCCTCTCCTTCCTGGAAAGAAATGGAGATTTTGGCAGAATCTTAGCATTCCCAGGAGCCACTGGAATTGCACAGTTGGGGAGAATTGCCAGGAGCCACTGGAATTGCACAGTTAGAGATGTCATACAGAATTCCCTTCAGGGGCTGTAAGTGCTGAACATCTGTTAGTGAACAAACAAGCACAACTAAACTATTCTCCTCCTCTTCCCCCCAGAGCTCCCAAATGGTTTCCAAGAGAAATGTTAAGGTCTTGACACTTTAATTAAAGGGAAAGCCAAGTGTGGGTCCTGAGTTAATGAAATTGCTCAATTATGGTCTCAAAGGCCAATGCTGCTGACATAACCAGCAGCTGTGCAAGCACCATGCCACCTCCTGCTGTGGGTGTTCTGTAGGGAGCCTCTGGTGCCTCTGCAAAGTTCTCTTCACTCAGGCAAAGTCACATCCTGTCCTACAGCCCACCATGAATGAGAGAAAAAGCACTGCAGGAACTCTGAGGCATAAAGGAAACCTTTGTGCAACAACACAATTCCTAACTCGTCTCCATTCATCTGTCCGAGGAAGACAGCAACAACTATTTGTAAAAGCAAAGAAAACCAAACATTTTAATGTCTTTATGTCATGTTTTTATATCTGTTATATCTTCTCTGCAAAGAGAACTCAGGTTTTTTTTTCTTCAGTCAAATACAGTTTTAGTACATCCATCTTTCAGGAGATCAAAGCATTTGCATACAAAACCCAGTAATTTTATTATCAGCAGTTTTTATAGCAAGAGTGAGATTCACTTCAGAGTCTCACTGAACACAGCCTATTATTCTAAACTCTGTCATTATTGACACTCGGATACAGAACGAAATATAAGAATATGCAAAGCCTATGTACAATTAGAATTAGGAACAAATGCATCTTACTTCCAACAACTTTCTGTATTGGTTCTCCATCTTGGGGGCCTGTTACTTTATTTTTCTTGGCAGCATGCAGTGGTTCAAAATAAGCCTTGTTCTTCAGCACAAAGAAAACCCTTTGGATGCTCTGTGAGGTAGTTCTGTCAACTTTACCAATGGCTTAAAGAATCAATTTTACCACTAAAAATGCAAGGCATTGGATGTCTTGATTTAACAAAGCTGCAAAGGTGGATGGAAAATTCTATCAAAAGTTGTCTTTATAATTTGGTCTTGCAACTGTATGAATATTTCCTCTCTAGCTTTATTTCTAGCTAACATTCTGAAGCATTTTCTCATTTTCTCCATGTAAGCCCCACATCTTTAAATATGTATGAGCAAATCCTGAAACTAAAGCCATCATCACATTATCTATTACATTGCAAAATACAGTAGACAATTTTTTTAAAAAGCATGGTTTTCACCTAAAAAGCTGCTTCCTTTTTGCCATTTTCAAGTCCATAGCAAAAGTATTTTTTAAAAAATAGAGACTTGCCTAACAAAACATGTAATTATTTTAAATTAAATTCCATCAAAACCAACTAAAGGACATATTTTAGATTACACCCAGTTAATCTTGGATCATGCTCTTAACATTTGAGTCACAGAACATTAATTCTCTAAGTAGAAGGAAAGAAGCCTCATATTCTAAGGATATACATTTCCTTTGCTGCTTAACACCCACTGTACTCTGAATGACTCTTATTGAATTTCTACTTTATTACTACTTGTTCTAACAAGTTGTTTTGTAGCTTGGGATTTGCTTTTGGTTTTATTTCTGTTTTTTAAACAGAATTCTTTTATATTTTATGGATGCATCCTGTCTTTCCTTAGGGTTCTTCTCTGTAGACTACCCAATTTCATTTTTCACCCTCTCTTTGACAGTTTCATAGACTTCTAATCATTCTTACTGCTCTGGTGTAGATGCTCCCTTTGTCTCCTGAAGAGCTGTGACCAGACTGCACACAAAACTGCAGCCAAAGCCACATGCCATGTGAGATCAGCTAGAGGAA